AAACCCAAGGCCTTTGGTACCGCAGTATGCTCCGCTAACCATTATACCGTCTGTGCGGCGATTATACGAAATGTAAAAATAAACGTTTCACAAAAAATGAATCTTTTCGACATCCAGATAACATTACGTGACTAGATGAATCAATTTCCGACTGCTAGAAACGTATGATTCCGCATACAGTGAACTTTATTTTTGTCCCAGTCATCTTAGATTCTCTGTCAACCCCGGCATGCTACGCTTTTACATCCGTAATCATCGTTCGTATATAAATTTGTCATTTCATGAATTTGTATTTCGACTTTGTACGCGCAGTACGAATTCTTCTTTTCAGATTAAAAGATAACGAAAAGAAAAGGATACAGAGAACATCCCTTTTGGAAATGTTTGGTATTAAAAAAAATAATTTCATTTCAGCTGATTGTTGTGTACCAACAAATTTCAGCCGCTAAAGAACAACAATTTGCAGTTTTCTTGCTTGACTACATTTAACGAACAACGTGTTAGAGCAAAATTTGTTTTCATAAAACGTTTTCGGAAAACAAACTGTTAGGACGCAATAATTTTTACAATCCACACAAATTAACTCTATTTTGATATAACAGTATATTTATTTTAATTTTTATCAATAATGTAGATTTATTTTTGTTATTGCTATAGACACCATACACAGCCCGCCGAATTCTTGCATTTCAATATGTTCTCTTAGTAAAAACAATTGCCGACCTCTGAATTAAACCACGAGGCACTAAATTTTATTACGAACAAGATGTTTCTAGCTAATGGGAAAATACTTTGGTTGGGATATAGCACTAAGCTGGAAAAAGAAATGCTTTTTTTTTTTTTTTTTAATCAATCATTGCAAAATTCAAATTCAGTAGTTTTAAAGAACTATCATCTTGGAAACGTTTAACTTGCAAAAAATTAATTTTAGAGAAATATAAATGTAATTTTAAAACATAAGGAAGGTGCTAAATAATTTTCCGCTAAAAATTAAATTTACATACTTTTCTAGTGATTTTTTTAATAATTAGAATTAAGAGAAACGAAGATATATTTTATGATGCTTACCAGGCCGCAGAGGCGTAGCTAGGGTTTTCGGCGCCCGGGGACGACTGAAGATTTTGTGCCCCTTTCTCTGTGCGAAGAATGGAAAACATTTCATTCTAAAATTTCGTAACATCAATTTTGCGCCCTCTGAATGCTGCGCCCGGGGACAGATGTCCCCCCTTGCCCCACCCTAGCTACGCTACCATGGAGGTAGGTCTTACTTCCTACCTCCCTGTACGCCACTGGCAGGCCAGCCACTTCCGAATTTTTAGATTATATTTTCCTTGAATCTTTATAGCATCTATACAATAAAGATAAATTCAAAGATTGTTTTTAAAGTTATACGCTTAAATGGCATTTTTAAAAAAGAACTTAAAAAAGTTTTTATTTTAAGGAAGGTGCTTTAATGCATTAATACGTCACAGCATACACAATGCACGCAAATATAATACATATCGCTAAAAATAAACAGAACAGCAAATCAAATCAGAGAACTAATTTATTTAATTAGCGTATAATTGTCGGAGGACTGTTCCCTATTGCCATCTCGCGAAAAATGAGATCACGAAAACCTCTAACCTTATTTTCGCGGAAGAGAATTCTTTCTCTTTTTATCATTTCCATCCATCTACCGAGTGATCAGGGAAAACATGAGGTCGTGACTGTGAAGAAAAGGGAAGAAGGGTGAGAGTAAACGGGTAATTTAATTCCGTAATTGATTTTACACTAAACGGCACAGTTTATGCTAATTTTCAGGTTATCGAATGCAGTTCAGGACGATCATGCCCAACTCCGTCTAAATGCGTTCGGAAGGAGCGCTAATTTTGTTTAGGTTTATTAGCCGATGAAACAAAGTCCTTTACACATTTTCTTTTCCCTTTCTCTTTCCCTCTCCGGTTTTAGTGAGTTTTGAATTCCCATTCAGTTTGTCAAAAAAGAATCTATTATAATTTTTTTTTTCAAAATTTTATTTAGTATGAAGTATTTATTTTTTTATTTCAGGACAATTCATAGGCAAGAATTCTGGCAGCGTAAAATTCAGTACACTCATTCGTCGAAATTTTATTTAGCATGAAGTATTTATTTTACATTTCAGGACAATTTATTCCAAATTGGTTTAAATCACAGGCAAGAGTTTTGGCAAAGTAAAATCAGTACACTCATTCGTAAAATCTCTTTCGGCTCCTTTTACTGTAATCAAAAATAAGACTCTCTCCTTTTTTTTTTTTGGGGGGGGGGGTGGAAGGCTATACTATCGTTCTAAAATCTCGTAGGTTCTTATACAGAGATAATTTGAAAAACGAAACCCTAGAATGAGAAAAAAGAGTTTAATTATCATATTACGCAGAATGCCGCCAAGCCCGTATGGTGGTTAGTAACCCTAACTGCCGCAGCGACAGGCCCGGACTCCCGAAGAAGGCATAGTTGTAACTATCCATCCCTTCATACAAGGCAACGGTAACCACCTATTAGGTGCTTCCAATGACCACCACTTCCTCTCCTTGTAGTGGCGTTAGGTTAATGAATATTAAATAAGCGCACGGCCATTTAAAAAAAAAATATTACGTAGAAGAAGGGTTTTCAAGCAGGGGGTAAATTTCATATCTTCAAAAGGGAAGTGTGGACAGCCTTTTATTTTGCAGTTATTTGCTAAGTATTTAATTGTAAAAGAGTTTAAAAAAAAAAAAAACTTAGAGCAAATTCATTTTAATAAATTACAACAAATATGTGATGTACACGATAACACAACTCACTTTACGTAAGACTTTAAATATGCCCTAAACGTACTTTCTTTATATACATGCATTTGCAAAATTTCTCAGGAAATAGATAAGTTTTCACAAGAATTTTTTAAACAGTGATAAAACACCGTTTATCTCAATTAAATAAGGTGGAGACACTTCGGATATGTCAGAGAACTAACAAGCCCGATCGGAAATAAATGCTTATAACAATGTGTGCTGAAGATATATGTTATAACATTTATGCATTTCTATATTATTTAAAATACTCAGTTGCCTTGTTTACGCTTTTTCCAGGCTAAGTTGTGTGACATCACACTTTTATACATTTTCTTTAAAGGACCAATGTATATCGATATAGTGAAGCAGCTCTTATTAAGAAAACAACTGAAGCCTGAAGTCCATTTTCAACAATATGATGGCCAACAATAAAAGGCAATGAGAAATTTGCCATTTTGTTACAGGTCACATTTATACAAACCATTAAATCAGCAAGACAGAACAGGCTCTATGGCCTCGAAGTCACATGTAATATGATAGTAACTCATCAGATTTCTGAGTAATCTCAGATTGAAGAAGCCTTCCACGTAATCAATGCTGTAAGCACTAACAATCGTCGGCTGATCATAACAGGCATCGACAACTTGCCTGAAGGCTTTGCGTAACGTGCACAGTAATCATCTGTAAGTCCTTGGCGTTACAATGTATGTACGGGTATTGTGACTGTATAATCATCTGATAAGACTTACTCATTTTTCTAGTTCGACAAAAACTCACGTTTAATAATAATCTCTAGCATTTATCTTTTCATGGGCAACTGAAATTTAGTATATTGTAATAGAATTTTCTGTAAGTCCAATAATTTAGCAAAGTAGAAAAATCTGCTTTATTTTTTCAAATTCTAATAGAACGTTACCATTAGATCTTTTAATGGAACTCACCCTCTCTAGAGAACTGATGTAGATGGTCCCTATATTCAACAAGCATGATGGCATTTAATTATTTTTTGATTGGACAGAACTACTAATTCGTATCGTTCGACATTTAATATACTACAGGGGATACAAGAATATACGATATTTAATGTAAATAATTTAAGGTCAATTATAGGACAAAGTAATATAAGCGCATTAGCCACTCTCTCAATAGAAAACAAAATGGTCCTTAATTTAGATTTTTTTTAAGTGCTTGAGAAAATTGGAAAGTGAGAAGATTTCTGTTAAATCAAGGCTGCACTACGAGTGAATGGTGATACACGTAATCGACTGAAATATATATTTTTTTTAATATGTGAACCATTCTAAAATAGATAATAAATAAAATAATATTATTGTCAGATTATTTTCATGGCACAGTTGAAACTTTTATCAACCTTAGTAAACTGTAAAGAAAAAAAAAATAATATATGCGCAGATATATTCTACACGGTTTTTTGCCCACAAATGCTTATATATGGCATTTAATTATGAATATTCCAAAAACGGTTATAAGCCTTGAAGAAAAACATGAATTTCACCAATTTCTTATTTCTTACTTTTAATTTGCACACTTTATTCCCCAAACTCAGGTGCAAACAACAGTGTGCCATCGATCATTTTTAACCCCATATGATTTTTTATCTTTTAATGCATTTAAAATATACATCGAAAAACATATTGTGTACTTTGATCTTATTGAAGGTTTAGGTGTGTGTATTTAATTATGGCAAGGCACACTAGGGCTATCTGCCTAAGGGGAGGGTTGCCTTCGTGGAGGACTTTCTAAGGGAAACTGGCTCGTATACACGTTACACAAGGGGGAAACCACGAAAACCCATGCAGCCAGCCCGTTCGCGGGATTCGAACCTCGGACCGAACTACCAGTGTTCAGCGACTTTACCGCTCGGCCGCTGGTGGGTTTATTGAAGGTTTAGCATATGTACTTGCAAGACGAGAACGTCACAATAATTTCGCATAGGGCACCGAATACTCTGGAACCGGCCCTGGTCATACTTATGATTACAATACTGAGCAATTTTCTTCAATTACTACACAATTTTCTCAGATTTCAATGAAATGTAATTCTTTAATTTTGCTAAATAAAGGATGTGTGGCAAAAATATTTTTAACAATGGAGAGATGTACGGTAGCAGAAAAATTTAGTAAGCATTAAATAATGGGGATGGCAGTATAAACAGAGAAATAATGCGACGAAAAAATAATAAAAACATACCTTAGTAGTACACAAAAACCAGAAACAGCATAAATAGAAATGTGGGGAAGAAGTCATATACCAGTAACCTGTAATAAAACATATGTAATCGTTAAAAAAATTATACGAGCTATTTGATAGTCAAAATCAGTAGCAGAAGTACAGCTTTTTAGAATTTTTTACACATTACAGACATGATAAATAAATAGATAGTTTGGATTTAGGACAAAATAAATAAAAAGATAATTTGGATTTTGGAGAATCATAAAAACATCAATAGAAGAAATACATATCAACACAAAAGGTGCTTTCATAAAAGCATATATTTGACAAAAAGCAGTTTTAACTATCTGAGTACAAAAATTGTATCGCAATGTTAATATAAAAACACTACCTTATTTTTAGGAATTTTCAGAAAAAAAAAAATTCCTGTCACAGTACAACCGTGAAATTTCAAATGCCCATAACAGTTGTCAATTTAAAATTTATTCTAAAAAGGTAAACCAAAGCTGTATCAAAAATACAAAAAAGCAGCCTAAATGTACGTAAAGAAAATTCTCAAAATTTCGTTTTCTACTTAAACCTTTTCAAATCTAAAGCTGATTTCAATATATGTTCATTCCGGAAGTTTCATTTCATTTACCCGAATCTTTAAAAAACCATTCACAAAACCATCACATGGATGGGATCTACATTCCCTAGATATCCCCTACCCAGCTAGCCCTCCTCCTATACTACATAGGCGAGCTCTGCGAGATCGGACCTCCCCGAGGCCGCTCTTCCTTCACTCGCCGATCCTTTTTCCCCCGAGCTTTCTTTACTATAGCCCCTCTTCTCCGAAGTACATCCTCCGCACCCACCTTTCCTTTCCAGTGTCTTCCCCTCTTCTCCCCCCTCACTCCCTTTCCCCATTTGCATTGCCCCTCCCACGGTCAACCGCAACTTCAACAACACCACCCCCCCCACCCCCCCTTCCCAACAATAAACCTCCCCCCCCCCCCCCCCCGCTCCCATTTCCCCTCCACCCCCCCCCCCCCTTCCCCCCTCTCCACTCCCTCCCCCCTTAACCACCTGCCCCCCATTCTCTCCACCCCTTCAAACTCCCCTTCCCCCCATAATATAAACTCCCAAATATTCACCCCCCCCAGGCTAAACCTCCCCCTGACTCACCCAGTTCCACCTACCCACACAACCATTCTAACACCCCTCCCCCCCCACTACGCCCCTCGCCCCCCACTTCACACCCCCCTACCGACTGAACCCCTCTTCCCCCCTCCCCCCCCCTCCCGTCACCCCCCCCCTCCCGTCCGGCCCCCTTTTCTCATCCTCCCTCCGTCTCTGCTACCTGCCCACCCCCCCCCTATGGCACCCTCCACCCCCCCCCGGCGACCCTCCCGGACCTCTCGTTGCCTTCCGGCTTACCAAATGTGTCACCAAGCCGTGGTCTCGCGAAATTGACCTAGAGCTGGAAAAGAAGCTTAAGTGGATCATCATATATGAAAGATATAAGCAAAACATGTAGTTCACCAATAATTCATATAACAGTAACGGATAGTACATCAGTAAGTACTTCCCATTATCTAAGTACATGACACAAAGTTCACCAGTATCAATATCAAGCATTAATATTTCAATAACAACCTATATAACCGGCAGTTGTGATACCGGTCTTAGATGTGGGGGGGAAGGCAGATCAACAGACAGTGTCCCTATCATATACTAGTGTAATACACATGTCGCGACACCCATACGGGGAGACCTACAAGCATATCATTCAAGGAGCTTTTATTCGATTCCTCACCTTACTAAACATCAGGAGTTTCTCGCTGTACTGTTCTATGAGAATATATCACATGAGAGCAGAAAAAACAAATCAGCTTATATACGATATAACCGTATATATGACAGAAAAAGACACTAATACGGAAACAGGTTTTTTTTTTGTACTTTATTGTCTTTATTTATGTTTGATTTGTGGGAGAGACAGAATTAATATGATGTACCAGATCAGTGCATTAATATGTCACAGGACTCTACCAAGTACACCATAAGATCTAGGCAATCCAACGTCTATACACGCCAAGCACTTGTGAGAGCAACGATAAATCCATACAACGGAAGGCAATGGACAGGATGAGTACTCGGAACAGGTTTATTTTTGTTTGTGCTGCTTTCCTGTCCCTCAATGGTTACGCTTGTGTTTGTGCTCAGATAGGAGGTGATTTGGACGACTTTTAAAAGCAAGACAAAACAACCCTTTTTTTTTTTTAGTTTGCATTTTAAGTTTTTTTTTGTCAATACCGAGCTGCGTAGAGTCAATGACAAAAACACTAATCCAATACAGCGAAATCTGAGCTGCTAATTATATGTCACTATTCACACCTGTTGACAACAAGATATACAAATAGTGGAGTCTCCCCACCCCTACTGAATTGTCGCAGATACCTGCTTTTTACATTAGACTGCTTAATATCCGTCAAATAATTCGTATTGGTGATTTGTTTGTTATTTCGAATAATGTATTTCTTTTTTATTTATCCTATAGTGAGTATTCAATTGTTGTTGCTCTAATGAAGAGAAGAATATGTTGTGTCACATGAAAATATCCAAACAATCCCCCAATATGAGAAAGAAGCTAGGCGGCACCCATACACAACCAGCTGACGAAATTAGTATACAGGTTTTTTCACTCACTCTTCTAAACTTATGTGAAACTAAGAACGCCCAGGGCCGGTTAGACGACTATCTCAATTGAGTTATTGGTACTACTTTTGTATAGGTCTCATGAACTTACAGAGAGGGAAGCCAGTGAAGACGACCTCTAGAATATAGGAGAGGGATTTTATTTACCATAACTGTGCCACACGCGTAGGACATCGAATACGAATCTCTGATAAGAGCTAACGATTACATATGCCCCCCCCAGGGCAACTGCTAATAATTCCAGCCTACATCCCTGTAGCAACACCGCACACCTACAATCCGAACCCTGACCGGAACTTCAAGACACGTGCTAGTAGATTAATACAAAAATCATTCAAGAAAGTTTATAATCCCCCTCACGTCAATTCGTATGACCTTATCTTCCCTCCGACCCTAAATCAATTGCTCTAGACTGCTTGCACCCTACACACAGCATCTCGTCCTAGCACACGCACTGTCATCGAGCTTACAAGCCACAGGAAAGCCGTGCAAACCCGGAAAGGTTTTCCCGTGCTCGATTGGCGGGTCATGACTCTGAATCTCGAAGCTCTTACAGATGACGGCGGGGTATACGAGGCATTGATCGGTCACCCAGCTCTGTTCTTCTTGTTATGTGGTATTGTAACTCAATTAGCCTTACTTATATGACCACCATCTTTACCAGTCGATCAGCCAAGCCTACATTATTTAGGTATGCGTCCATGCTGGCAGAAAAAGGAGGGCATAGGCATCACAGGACGAGTCAGGGAGGCGCTTGTTATCCGCCCTTGGAGTGTTGTGCACCCGCCGGCTTGCGGCACCTAACAGGTGACACTAGGAAAGCATTAATCGAGTTAGTCATACTATTTTAATATCTCTGACTGCCCTACTTTACAGATAGCTCATAAACAGTACGATCCACTCAACTCGTAAACAAGGGGGAGAGAGTGAGGCGACTAATCAGACTGCGGGGCCGCGTGTTGCCGAGGAAACGGAAGACCCACCCCAAAATCCTATACAGCAAGGGAGAGATGGAGCGGGCTGCGCGGATGGGGTATACCATACTGGATACTAGCGTGTTATCTGGATTACACAGAAGTTAACTTCCTAAAATCTATAGGTTAACAGTATGTGTACAATTAATATTTGAATTTGTAGTTGGCGCCCGCACCCTCAAATAATATGACCCCCTAACGCTCTCTGTCAAAAAAGGAAATCATCCTCACCGCATACAAACACATCGTACGAATTGTAACGCGCACCATGTGATATATCAGGAGGGAGGGATACGTCTATTAGGGCATTTACTACTAGAATAGATTTATCTATTTTCTCCTATATTCAACACCCTACCTACATCAACCTTATTTTTTTGCTCATATACAGGTGCACCTCCCTCCCCATCTACTACGCAGAACAATCATATGTAGTGCAATAATATCAAATCATTTTGATACAAGTACTGCATATGTATTTATGTGCCCTGAATTACGAACATCCGAAGGATATTCATATCCGCCCATTTACCAATAATCTAAAGCACAGAATTTGAACCCCCTTGCCAGTATTCTATAGCGAAAAAACAACCCCCTCCGCCGCCACACAGAACCTCCAGAAGATTCAGACACCCACCTACCCACACACCCTCCCAAGCTTTCTTCGTTGAATGTCTGAACTTGCTCCTAATCCCTAAACAGAAGACAAAGTAGCGAAAATCATCAGCAATCAATCAAAAATACACGACAGGACTGCTTCTTACAGAATCAGGTATAACTCTCACCCGACTGGTTGTCGCCTTTTTTGTCATGGGCAGAGTTACATTAACTTTTTCAGTCCGCGACCCAAAGGAGTTGAGTATCCCATTATGTAGAGGGGGTAGGTTCTCACCAAAAACACCCCACCCCTTTTGTAGGCACCCCCCATACACCCGTATGCTGCCTAAATGCTTTTTTCCCCTCCCGCCCGACCCACACCCCCCCGTACCCCCGCCCTATTTGTCTGGAGACCGTGTCAGGTGTGTTGGTTAACTGAACGTGCTAATTCAAGCACCTCCTCCTGCACCGCATCTTCAACCCGGTCCATCCTAAACTTTACCATGTCCTACAATTCAAACCCCCCAATAGCCCCCAAACAAATCAGGCAACCACCAACTCCTCTCCTCAACACCTAAACGTAACAGATGAAAGGGACAGACGTCACGTGCCAAAAGCAAGAGAACATGAAGTTATATACAACAAGAATGCGTCGAAAGGCGTTTTCGGTTTTTTTCTTATGATGCGGGGATATTGTTTATCGTTATCTATATCCCGATACATTGTGTAGAAAATATTGGCTAATTGTAAAATTATGTATAATAAGTTAAAGATATAATCCACCCAACATACTGAAATTTATGCCGACCCCTAGG